CCACGGGAATTAGTTACGAAAAATTCAACTTAAACAAAAAGCCAAAAAGAAAAAAATTAAACAAAAACAACAAGTTTCAACTACCAAGAGAAGGAGAAAAGGTTTCAACAGTTAAAAAAATAATTTTGTCCAGTTGACGCCGCCCCCATCAGAGGAAGGCAAAAACTACTGATACAGGTGGGTCCTATTGCGGCAGCCCCTTGATCACCGCCATGGCCAGCGAGGAACCCACAAACAAGCCCAGCAGAAGCGACAGATTTGCCATGATACCCGCAATGGAGCGCTGGCCAGCCATCAACAGCGCCGGCGTGCGGGTGCAGTGAATCATCGCCATGCCGCCAAAGTAGCCGTTGGTCAGACCCCAAAGCAGGCACAGAATGTAGGGGAGGACGTCGCCAGGGATTATCTTGCGCACGCACAGCACCAGCAACGGGACGATGAGCACGCGCAAGAACGACCCGGCCAGCACGACGCGCGGCGAGGGACGCAGGCGTTTAAACAACAAAAAGAAACGCGACAGAAAGTCACCAAGGTTGAACATGGCGACAATGATCGTCGCGTACCAATCGTTCGAGCCGCCTGCAGCGAAGAACACGCCGGGGAAGACGAGGAGGGTCGCGCCGAAGACCGTAAAGCACGAGAGCAGCATTGGCCAGATACACTTGAACACTGTCATTATCTGCGCGTTCAGCATTTGACCTGTCGAGGTGATGTTGTCCACCTGGTCAATGTCCTTCATTCTGTCCGCGTCCCCCTCAACGTGCAGCACATCCTTGTTGTGCTCAGCGCCCGAAAACGGAGCCGTATGCTCGTCAGGAAGCGGCGACACCTCCGTTTCCTCCGCGGTGCCCACGGGGAACTCGTCGTTGCTCGTGTGGGCACGCTCTACACGGTGTTCATGCGTGTACCTGAACTCCGCAGTGTACTCGCGGGCAAACGGAATCCGTGGCATCACCACCAGCAGAATGCAGGATATTAGCTGAAGGCCCATCGAGACGCCAAAGTAGATGCGGGCCTGCGTCTGCACACTTTCGAAGTCATCCGCCATGGATGCCTTGATTATCATCGACATTGCGGATGAGATGATGCCTGAAAGACCGAGCCCCCATATTACCGAGCTGTAGAACTTTGTCGGGAACGGGCCTGCGAGGGCACCCGTGCCGGAGTCGCAGAGCGTCTTCG